GTCTAACACTCTAGAACAGGGGTGTCAAACTGACTGCTACAATATAAGTCCCATCATGCCTCTGCCTGTGGGATAGAAGAAAAGAAGGAGCGCCCGATGTCCAAAAGAATGCACTTTTGATGGTAGATTGGGAGGCATTTATTGAGAGCAATGACAAGTACTTCAAGCCAACGCGTTTCGGGAGAAAAGACTCTCCCTTCTTCAGGACTATCAAACACAAAAAATATACAGAGAAACAAATACAGTATAGAAGAAATAAAAAAATAAAACAGTATGTATATAGAAAAAAAAACTAAATAAATAAATATATGTATACATTATATTGCCAAAAGTATTGGACCCGCCCTCCAAATCACGTGATTCAGGTGTTCCAATCCCCTCCATGACTACAGGTGTATACAATCCAGCCCCTAGGCATGCAGACTGCTTCTACAAACATTGGTGAAAGAATGGGTTGCTCTCAGGAGCTCAGTGACTCCAAGCGTGGTCCCGTGATAGGTGGCCACCTGTGCAATAAGTCCATCCGTGACATTTCCTGGCTACTAAATATTCCATGCTCAACTGTTAGTGGGATTATAACAACGTGGAAGCAGCTGGGAACAACAGCCACTCAGCCACCAAGTGGTAGGCCACGTCACATGACAGAGCGGGGTCAGCGCATGCTGAAGCGCACAGTGCGCAGAAGTCGCCAACTGTCTGCAGAGCCAATAGCTAAAGACCTCCAAACTTGGTGTGGCCGTCAGATGAGCCCAACAACAGTGCGTAGAGAGCTCCATGGAATGGGTTTCCATGGCCGAGCAGCTGCATCCAAGCCTTCCATCACCAAGTGCAATGCAAAGCGTCGGATGCTGTGATGTAAAGCACGCCGCCACTGGACTCTAGAGCAGTGGAAACGTGTTCTCTGGAGTGACCAATCACGCTTCTCTGTCTGGCAATCCAATGGACGTGTCTGGGTTTGGCGGTGGCCAGGAGAACGGTACTTGCCTGACTGCATTGTGCCAAGTGTAAAGTTTGGTGGAGGGGGGATTATGGTGTGGGGTTGTTTTTCAGGGGTTGGGCTTGGCTCCCTAGTTCCAGTGAAGGAAACTCTTAAGACGTCAGCATCCCAAGATATTTTGGACAATTTCATGCTCCCAACTTTGTGGGAAGAGTTTGGGGGTGGCCCCTTCCTGTTCAAACATGACTGCCCACCAGTGCACAAAGCAAGGTCCATAAAGACATTTTGGTCCTCTTTGAGGCTCAGTAAGCTCTGACATGACTCCGTATTACACCGTGAATGATGATCGTGAGGCTTCCCACCTGTTAGCTAGGTGTCTCATCACACAGCGGAAGCAAAAGAATGTTGGACATCATGTTTAGACATCTTTCAAATTTATCATTATGTGGGTCTGCCTGAACTGGATATGATCAAGTCATAAATTGTATTTATTTTTCTATAGGTGAGGGTCTGATGGAGCAGATTCTGCTGGATGAATTTGGATGCTCACTGAGTCCAGAGCTGAAAGGTGACAAATATACAGTAAAGTACAATGCAATATATTTGATTATTTTCCAATTTCCTCCAAAGTGCAGAGGTGGTGTTATGTGTTCCCTGAATTCAGACTTTCCCCTTCAGGTCATACAATTCATGTATAAAATGGGTTTAACTAGTTCCCGTTTGGAAGGGACTGGTATGTCCAAAGAGTAAGCAGAAGAGTCCATTCACACTTTTGCGACTTTTCATGCAACTTTGTGGTCCAATGTCAGCCCCCCCATGTGTCCCAATGGGTACCATTCATATCTGTGCAACTTCAAGTCACAACAACTTCAAAGTAGTTCATGCTACTACTTTGGTACGACTTTCATGCAACTTGAGAGCCATAGACTGCAATGAAAACCCTCAAAAGTCGTATGAAAGTTGCACCTGAATGTTATACATGCAACAGTTGTCCATTATCATTAATGAAAGCCAAAGTCGTATCCAAGGCATCGCAAAGTTTTTTTTGCACCCATCAAAGTTGCATCAAAGTTGTAACATTGGAGTCGTACAAGTGTGAACCGAGCCTTCAACAAGCACATGACTGCAGTTGTGAGCTTGCTTCAGGTTCTCAGCCGGCTCCTGGCTTTACGTGACTCAGGTGTGTATAATTATAAATAATAATAATAATAATAATAATAAAGGCATTACCCCAAGAAGAATAAAAGATTTATTCATATCTGACTGATAAAACTTTACATTTAGCACAGCTCTCGGCACTGATCCTATGTCACTCTTTCAGGGATGCATGGCATAGCTTGTCCCCCACTGGTCATTCCTAGGTCATTACTGAGTCTTGCAGTGACTCGGGGTTAGCAGGAGGAACCACAGCAGTCATAGGGGGATCCTATATTCATCTAGCTCAACGAATCAAATAATATTGGCACCAGAAGCCCTGCTACAGAGTGAAATTTCTAGCAAGCAGGTCAACACAACAGACAGGTATGTATGAATCTTCCCGTTCGGCCCATGCACATAAATTGCCAGATGGGAGCAGCTCCGATGTGCATGGATGTGTCTAAATGTCCCCCCATATCTATCACATACCTGGTGGAGAGAGGGCTTCCTTTGTGTCTAAGTTCCAGGTTTCCCTGAAGCTGGAACAGGAGTCAGGCCCAATGAAGTACGGGTCACCTGCTGGAATGCTTGCAGAGATGTTGTGACTAGGAAGTTTGTCAGAGGAATACCCAGGAGTACCCTGGCGTGTCTGCAGACACGTGGAACCTGAGAGAAGCAGAAGATCTTTATTTATTTTATTTATTTCAGGCACTTCTATAGCGCCATCAATTTTTACACAGCGCTTTACATATATATATTGTACATTCACATCAGTCCCTAACCCTCAAGGGATGTACAATCTAGGGTCACTAACCCTCAAGGAGCGTACAATCTAACGTCCCTAACTCGCATTCATACATACATGGGCCAATTTAGACATTATCCAATTAACCTACCAGCATGTCTTTGGAGTGTGAGAGAAACCGGAGTACCCAGAGGAAACCCACGCAGGCACAGGGAGAACATGCAAACTCCAGGCAGGTGGTGCTGTGGTTGGGATTTTAACCAGCGACCCGAGTACTGCTAGGCAGAAGTGCTAACCATTTAGTTCAGTAGAGAACAGGAGAGGAGTCGGTTCGAAGACAAGGTCAGATATGAGATGAAGACAAGAGCAAGCGTAGTTAAGATTCTAACCGGGGTCATACACAGGAGAGCAGAGAGAGAAGATCCATTAGAAAGCCATGGTCAGGTCAGGAAGCAGGCAGAAGACAGGTCAAGGGACAATCCGAGTCAGTAACAGGAATCCACAGATGCAAAGAGAACACAGGAACAAGCTCACTGGAGAGCCGAAGATCAACCAGCAATTGCAGAGAGCAGTAAAGGGACAGAGTCGTCTAGCACCAAGGGCAAGAATCCAGAATTGCCCCCCTTTTCCACATTGTTAATACATGCCATAGAATTGGTGTACCATCATGCATTTATCCCCCCCCCCGCTCATCTGCTCCCGGGGCAGCTGTCCCTCCTGCCCACCCCTTGTCCTGGCCCTGGCAGAGAGATACTGGCGTCCTTATAAAGGCCATCTGGCACCAAACTGGGCTGGGATCATGCATAGCTGTGCACCAGGGCGCATGCATTTTCCGATGCCCGTTATTCGCCAGTGCACATTCCTGTGGCCATGCAAAGTACTAGCAGGAATGCCAGGTATTCGAGCACCTCTGCTGTGGACAGTGCCCTGACAGCATCCACCGCGTGTGCGTGCTCCTTGGGAGCATGCAGCGCCACAATCTGTGCCTGCTGTACACAGTGGAACATGGACCACTGTGGGCAGCCCAGTACCATGTGATCGCTGATTAGCCAATCAAAAATCACAGGCACAGTAGTAAACAAGATGTTATTTCCTGGCATCATTGCTTACTACAGTGAGCTCTGTGATCGATCACAGATATCACATGATACAAGGCCATTCACAGCAGCCTTATACCATGTGCTATGCTGTGACCAATCACAGCTCTCACAGTTTTTATCAATGGCTAACAGCCCATTTTGTTGCTATTCCCTCCTAGATTGTAAGCTCGAAAGAGCAGGGCCCTCAATCCCCTCATGTTTTGCATTGTATTGGTATTGTTCTGTCACATGTTCTGTCCCCCTTTGTAATGTACAGCGCTGAGCGAACTATCGGCGCTTTATAAATACTGTATAATAATAATATAATAATAATGGCTGAAAGAATGCAGCTATAGAGTGAAAAATGTTTGATTTTACAGCCAGCATGGTCATAAAAGCAATCACACAAAAAATGTCTAAACAAATGACAACAATTTCGTATGAGTACAGTGTTGCATGCCTAAGTAATTGGCATTCAACGTGTGAGAGCGCTGAAGGCTGAAAATTGGCCTGAACTGGAAGGGGGTGAAAGTGTCTGGACTTGAAGTAGTTAAGGGTAGTGACTGTCTAATTGTGTTGACCCCCTGACAGGGTCACTTTAAATATTCCCTCTTTTCTTTATCCCTACTATGCCATTTACTCCTGGACCAAAAAGAAAAATGAACATTATCGAAGCACATGATGAAATTGTATTATTATTTCTATAGACATTGCGAAGCCACATTATAAGCTTCACTATATTGCCAAAAGTATTGGGCGGCCTGCCTTTACACGTACATGGACTTTAATGGCCCCCCAGTCTTAGTCCGTAGGCTTCAGTATTGAGTTGGCCCCGCCCTTTGCAGCTATAACAGCTTCAACTCTTCTGGGAAGGCCGTCCACAAGGTTTAGGAGGGTGTCTATGGGAAGGTTGGACCATTCTTCCAGAAGCACATTTGTCGGGTCAGGCACTGATGTCGGGGGAGGAGGCCTGGCTCGCAGTCTCCGCTCTAATTCATCCCAAAGGTGTTCTATGGGGTTGAGGTCAGGACTCTGTGCAGGACAGTCAAGTTCCTCCACCCCAAACTGGCTCCTCCATGTCTTTATGGACCTTGCTTTGTGTACTGGTGTGCAGTCATGTTGGAACAGGAAGGGACCATCCCCAAACTCTTCCCACAAACTTGGGAGCATGAAATTGACCAAAATGTAACTGCACACCAGTGCACAAAGCAAGTTCCCATCACTGGAACTAGGGGGCCAAGCTCAACCCCTGAAAAACAACTCCACACCATAATTCCCCCTCCACCAAACTTTACACTTGGCACCATGCAGTCAGGAAAGTACTTTTCTCCTGGCAACCACCAAACCCAGACCATCCATCAGATTGCCAGACAGAGAAGCATGACTGGTCACGTCTCTAGAGTCCAATGGCGGCGTGCTTTACACCACTGCATTTGACGTTTTGCATTGCACTTGGTGATGGAAGGCTTGGATGCAGCTACTCGGCCATGGAAACCCATTCCATGAAGCTCTCTACGCACTGTTGTTGGGCTCATCTGAAGGCCACACCAAGTTTGGAGGTCTTTAGCTATTGGCTCTGCAGACAGTTGGCGACTTCTGCGCACTGTGCGCTTCAGCATGCGCTGACCCCGCCCTGTCATGTGACGTGGCCTACCTCTTGGTGGCTGAGTGGCTGTTGTTCCCAGTTGCTTCCACTTTGTTATAATCCCACTAACAGTTGAGCGTGGAATATTTAGTAGCCAGGAAATGTCACGGATGGACTTATTGCCCAGGTGACCACCTATCACGGGACCCACGCTTGGAGTCACTGAGCTCCTGAGAGCGACCCATTCTTTCACCAATGTTTGTAGAATCAGTCTGCATGCCTAGGGGATGGATTGTATACACTTGTGGCCATCGAGGGGATTGGAGCTCCTGAGTCACATAATTTGGAGGGCGGGGCCAATACCTTTGGCAATATAGTGTTTATCTTTAATTATTGTTACCTTGCTGGGCTGGAAAAGATGAAACAATTGCTTGCATAAACATGTTCTTAGAGAAATAATAAATAAGTACATGTTAAATGAGTTAAAGTAACTGTCCAGATTTAAATTGTGTGCAGAGATCACATATCTACCAGTTAGATTCCTGTAATGTTCCAATCAGCACTGGGAAAGTGACCTCTGAATGCTATATATAACACAGACACATTGGGGTTGGTTTACTAAAGGGGTAGAGCATTTCCACTTAGCAAAATGTATTTTTACTTTGCAATGGAATTTTCCTAGTGAATGTGGTGAGCATTCATCTTATATAGAATATACAATCACAAGCAAGGAACATTTTGAAAAAAAGCTTGTGGTTGGATGATGGAGGTCAGCAGAACTCCATCTAATTCAATAAGCCAAGAAATAAATCACTTGCAAAGTAGAAATTAACTTCACTGAGTGAACAGGATATATGCTTTTGCAAGTCAACCCCATTGCATCAAGACTTCTATTCATGAGGACCAACAGCTCAGAAGATCTGGAGTAATAGTACATTTCACAAATAGAATGCATATAGAAAAAGTTTATATCCTTAAGAAAAACTGTTGATAAGATTTGCCAATCACAAACATTTTGAACTACAATCATTTAATTTATACAAACTAATCATGACTCAGGTATTCATTAAGTATGTAGGTTTGTATCAGGGATGGACTATACCATTTGGAAACTCGGGCACTGTCC